ATATATATATATATAGTCACACACGGTATGTATAGACAAACCGTAGTATACGCACGCATGCGCCGTGTCTCATGCTACCACACTCGCCCCGCGCACGTTCGGCTTCCGTGAATCAGCATCAGCAGCGCGGAGAGAAGGGGAGAGAGCCCACTACGGTACGGGCCGCCCTCCCCCGAGTCTTACTGAGGTGGAGGCGGCGGTGTAGTAGTCGCGCGCGAGTACTCCCGGGGCGCGGATGTCTCCGGCTTGAAGTTATACCGCGCCACTGATCGTGTATTGCTACAATGCACGGTTCGTCGTAGTGTTGTTGTGTGGGTGCTTTTTTTTTTTTGTTTTTTCTTTTGTGCGTGTGCGTCGTGTGTTTGTGCCCAAATAGGGGTACGTTGAACGCTGCCCAAGGATGCCCAAGACCGTTGGCAAGTGGGCCCTGCATCTGGGACTCGCTGCTGGTCTGCTCCTCGTCGTGGCTCTGCCAACTGCCCTGCAAGCCAAGAACGAAGAGTGTGAGTGAGATTTTGTTTTTTATTTCTTTTTTTTTTTTTTTTTTTTTTTCATCCCCGTACGTAGCCAGGAGGGGGTAGGTTTGAGGAGGCGCTTGGGGAGGGGGTAGTTCTATTTTTTTCTGTACGAGCCCGACGTGGAGTGATGGTTTTTGCGGGCAGACGGAAAAATGAGCTTTTCGTTTGTACGTTTTTTCTTGTTTGTTTGTTTGTGGTTTTTGTGAAAAATATCGCTGGTGTGGGTACTTTTCGTTTTTAACGGACGATAGTTTGGATGAAAAATTGTATACCATTGGAATGAAAATATTTGAGGCTACTCGACTCGATTTTTAATGCTCGGCTGGAGTGTCAGTGCGTGACCCGCTAGTGTCACGTGCGTTTTGGGGGCAGAGCTCGCGTCGGAGTCATAAAAAGCCGAATCGATGACGCGAGCCAACTTTTACCTCGGGAAAAGGCATGTTTGGGCACCAAAATATTAAAAAGTTTGATGCAACTTTCGAGAAGGGCAGCACACCCTCCTTTTTACTGGCATAAATTTGAATACACTGTGGACTTTTAATATTCACGTGTGGATCGAAAAATCAGTTGAAAGCCACCTGGATGGTAATTATTGCAAAACAGGGTAGGGCCATTTGGAAATTAAAATTTTTACTTTTGGCAGCCATGTTTCGCTGGATATGAAAAAAAAAAAAAAAAAAAAACAAGGGACACCTTGCACTCACGCTGCATCAAAAATTTGCGGGCAAGGTTTTTTTGTGAAACGTAAAACGTTTGCTATTCAACATAATTGGCCTAGTGAGCATCATCATTTTTTTTATCCATAACATTTTTTCCAACACGTAGTTTCAAAATATGTTGTATAACTTTTTTTTTCCATCTACTTGGGCAATCAAACACATTTGCCCTCGTCAGGATGTCAATTTTCTGCACAAAACAGTAGCAAAGCTGTGTACAACCAACCCTTATTGATAGAGTTCCCTCAATAATTAAAGTTTCATCGAATCAGGGTGGCGTTAGAAAAGTTCTTTTTTTCCACCAAAGTGTGCGTCACCCAATCGAAATCTAGTTGCACAAAGTAACTTTGTCAATCAGCCCAACAACCCTACGCCCACAATTTTATCATTGGACATGGCTCTGTCGATTAAAAAAAAAAAAAAAAAAAGAAAGAAAAGAAAACACGATTATTCAAGGTAAACTCGACATTTCCATCCATACACATTTATCTTTGATTCAACGAGCGCACAAAACGAGTGGCGAAAGACCGAATTTTAATGAGCCGGCTAAACGAACATCCAACTGTCCTCTTCTCCGCCGTTCGTTTGTAAGCTCTGAACCACAAAATTTCACTCTATACGTAGCTTTTTACACGGTGTAAGCTCCCCCAAAGCCAAAAATGCCATCCCCGCAGAAATAAAGGGCACACGATCGGAAGTTGGAGAGTGAAGAAAGGAAAGGAAGGAAAAAACACACATATCCGCCAGACACTCGTCAAAGTAATAATGTTTGCTTTTGGCAGGAGGGGGGGGGTTTGATTAGCACAGAGAGCGGGTCATCGGAAGCATCATAAGCCCCGGCGAGTCCACAACATCACGCGGACAAAAATCGAAAGAAAGACGGGCCAGCGGCGAGAGCATCGAGCCTACGTTGGCGCGCCGGCGGCAGTCCGAGAGAACTCGAAGAGAGTAATATTGATCGCGAGCAGGGGCGAGGGGGCAGCAAGAGAGAGAGAGAGAGAGAAGGCGACCGGCAGCGGGTGACAGAGCCTATGAGGGGGAGGGGGGAGCCGAACAGAAGGTAAAGGGCAGACGCGAGTGGGACCCCCTATACCTGCTCTGTGTGCGTGTGTGTGTGTGTGTTCGTGAGGATTTGGCGAGAGAAAGATAGGGGAGGAGAGCTTGGGTTGTATATACATAGGGGTGTCTCGCTCCCTTGTTCGGAGGGGACGAATGTATATATATGTATATGGCGTGTGCGTCTATCTGCCGGTATATCTGTGTATTGGGGTGTTTTACGCTTGGGGTGAGCGACATATATTCCGGTTTCTTTTTTAAAGATGACGTAAGGTATATCGTGAAAGATATACCAGTTCGAAATCTGCTTACTATTGAACGAAGCTCGGTTGGACTTTTCTTTCTTTTTTTTTTTTTGGACTAGTACAAAGTGGTTTTCGTGAAGTTCAACTTCATGTTAAAACTATCTATTTACCGTACGGGTATTTACGCACTGATAAACGAAAAGGTCCTATACATCTTCGTACACTGAGTATCGAGAAATACCATACGAAAGACGTGCACGCCGTTATCGTTACAGTCGTGCGAAAATCACCTACTTTGCGCATTTGTTACGTATACCGGACAATTTTAACAATGTGCGCAAAATTCAATTTCTCGCATATCTTCATAGAGGGTGTAAAGTGCTTAGTTTCTGCACTATCGCAAAACATTAACAAATAAACGCGTAGCCGTGTACGAAATCAATGTGCTAAAGCGATATTTGTATACGAGAAATTGAATTTTGCGGGCAGAGTGGTAAAAACTGTACACACTCATGACGTAGCATATACTATTTTTGAACGAGTGTCGACATCGCACTCGGCGTGTTGTGGACGGAGTGTATTTATTTTTCAAAGTGACGGAAACTCGCGCTATACGTGACAATCGGGTAAATGATACTTTTTAATACGAGATAGTGCAACGTCGAGCCACGCTTCATTCGATTAACTCTCGGCTGGAATAAAATGAAAAAAAAAAGGTCTGCTCCTCGTCGTGGCTCTGCCAACTGCCCTGCAANAAAAAAAAAAAAAAAAAAAAAAAAAAAATCCAGGAAAATCCCTTTTTCCCCTTGCAGACGCAACTTTTTCGTTTCGCACAAAGACCAGCGTATAATTACCCCCTCGTGCTCTCTTCGTTACCCAGCTCCGTTTTAGCCTCCACTAGTGCAGTTTTCGTTGTTGCTTTATTTTTTTTTTGTACGCTCAGCGTAACTTTCGTCCTCTTTACCGTGTCGTGCAGTTTCATCCTTTTAGCCCGGCGGACAGAACTCCGTATGAAACTGGATGGCTCTACCGGCACAAAATAGAAAAAAAAAAAAAAACACCATCTCCGCGTACACGTCTCGTGCCAAGCTTATTTTCACTGAAAACCTGGTGTTTTTTTCTCGTACACCATGAAAATCCCTTCCAGCCCAACAGGAAAGTATTGATTTAAAGCTGATTTATCTTGTTTGCAGGCGAAATAATTCCCGGGGCTCGAAATATTCTGCTTACGCGCGCAAAGTACAGCCCGATTGGGTATATAATGCTGTGTACTCGCTGTTGAATAGATAGATTTACGATCCGACGGTGCTCGGATGTGTAGGCGTATATTTTTCCGAGCAGACGCTTATTGAATATGTTTCTCGGGCGCGTCCTCGTGTGATTTATCGCCATTCATTGAGCGTTTACTATTGGCGAGATTTTTAATTGACAATGGTAATTGTACTGCGTACCAGTTGGGTGTACAATACCGAGGGTGTGGCTTAACAGCTGTTTCGGTGTGATTAATTTGAAGCTTTGGGTGGGTTTAAAAATTTTAATTCCTAAAATCCACTTGAGCTCTTCGTATACGAAAAACAAACTGAAAACAACGGAAATGGTTGGAATTATTTATAAATGTGCACAAATTATATAATTAAATGACATCGGCAATCTCATCAAGTCAAGGAATTATAAAATTGTTTTTGATTTAAAATTTAAGTAACCGACGAGTTAATTAATTTATTACGTGAATTTCATTAACTAGAAAGGATGTTTAGTTTTTAATTTCGGAAAATATTTGTGTACGAGGTGAATATGAATACACTGCACTACGTTAAAAAAAGTCTTGTTTTTACTTTAATGAGTTGTGGTACACCTTTTTATCAAGACCACGATAAATAATTTAAGTATCTTTCCCATCCTGATGAATATTACCGTTTTCAAAATGATACGACAAACAACTAAAACATTTTATGTGATTTAGCTTCGCAATGGATGAAAAATCACATGTTGAGATAAAATGACATTACTATGGTTTATACACTCGATCGAATTTAATAAAGTTTGGCCTATTTGTTTTGTTTTTATTTTTTTTATTTTTAGGTACCTATCTTCATTTGAAAATTTTAAAAGTCGATTCTCTTATAAAAACTGATATTTCAGCTTTTTAGTGTTTTTTTTAAAGATATTTTACTGTAGACAATCCGAAATATCATGATATTTTCTACAAAAATATAGTGTTTTAATAAAATTAAAAAAAAAAATTAGAATGTGGGTGTGTATCAGTGTAAGTAGGCATATGTATAAAATAAATCGTAATTTTGGATTACCTTCATAGATTTTAACACCACTAGGATCATTTCTTTTATTCTTGACTTCTCATTATGGCTTAATAATAAAATTTCTACTTAATCAAATATTTTTATCAATTTTGATTTTGGAAAATCGTTTTTTTGTTTTTTTATTTAAGGGTATTCCTTGTTAAAAAATCATAAGTACCATAACATTTNAATGTTTGTCATAATCATACCGTATGATTAAAAAATTAATTAAAAACTTTTGCGAGATAGAAAAAAAAAAAAATTTACAAAAAAATAAGGCGAGAAAAATTTGTGCAATTAAACTGAAAATAATTTTATACAAGGTAGAAAATTGAAACTATAACCTTGCATAACACATTTTTTATTTTTTATTTTTAATATATGATTTTTTTACAATACCCATTTTTTGATACTATCCAAAATAAGAATTTTTTAGCAGAAATAATGCATTGTACTTTAAAAGAAAAATAAATTGAGAAAGAAAGTGCAAAGAATGTAATTTTTTTAATATACTTTATTCGAAATTTAACAATCATGTTGCATTGTTTTCCTGCAAAATAATATATTCTTTCAGATATTATATTATATGAGTAGAAATGGAAAAAAGAATTTCTGCAAATCAAAAGCCTTATACACTTCAGAAAAAAACCAATATTTTACTTAAATAT